CTACAAACAGATGCTGGAGAAGTGGTTCAGTTAAACTCTTCCAGTAGACCCTGGTTCAATCCCCAGCGCCCTCTTCTGGCCTCTGTGGGAACTGCATGCACATGGTACACAAGCACACAGGCAAAATACCCATACACACACAATAAAACTTATCAACAAATGAAAGGTTCACAGTTACTGTGCTTGGGAAGCAAAGGGTGATACCGCTGCCGTGATGAAGATGGTGGAAATACTTCCCATTCTACTGGTACCAATCTGGCCAATATTTCTAAAATATCTCTACAGAATGGGAATCTATTGATGTGGTTAACCAAAAGGGAAGGGGAGGGGTACACCATGTTCAAATGAGTTGGATAATCCTTACATACCCTTCAAACATCCCCATCCCGCCACTGAATCTCACAGTGCACATTAGTACATGGGAGCTTCCAGGGGTCCACACAGGGATCTGCCTGGGTGTGCTTAGCACAGTCTCCCCCAAGTCACTCTCTCACAAGCCCCTTTTCCCACATAACATCCAACAACAACTGCAATGTTAAAAAACATTGTTTAGTCTGACGGGGACCAGAAAAAGTCTCCAAAAATAAACACAAGTGTAACAGGATATGCAACTGGAGCCTCTAATGAAGCATCAGATGCACCAGATAAGATGTTCCAGAGTCACACTGCAGGATGAGAAGGGGATGCTCAGAAGAGACGGTCCAGGAGCCCTTTCAAGTCCTGACCTATGCCAAGTGTGGGAAAGTCTTTCGAATGTGCAGTGGAGAAAGAATGTAGGCTAAAGTTCCCCCACCCTAGGACAAGGAGAGCTGCAGGTGACCCACTACCTCACTCAGTGGTCCCAGAAACTGGACAGCACAGTTGGTCAGCCTAGAAACCTAGAAGTCAAGAGAGGCAGATGATGAGTTGATCTTTAACGGGGTGAAGGAGGGTAGCTGCTTGTCCAGGAACTTGCTAGGACCGGGATCCACACGTTTCCTGAAGATGATCCACACAGAGCCTCACGAGGAGGAAAAAGAGGCACCACTTTGGGATCTTATCCAAGAGGACTGTGTGGGAGAATTATTAGACCACCATGTCAAGAGATGCTGAGCTGGGGACCGTTGGAAGAGCAAACTGAGCCGAGGACCTGAGTTGATGGGTTTCATCTCCAGCACCCACACAATAATTCTCTGTGTGGTGGTGCTTCCTGGAATACTGGAGATGAGGAGACAAGGGCGTCTCTGGGGCTTGCTGTCTGCCAGTCTAGCATTTCAGTGAGCCCCAGGTTCGGTGAGAGAACTCGTCTGGAAAAAAACCGAGGTGAAGAATAATTGAGAAAGACCTCTAGCATTGACCTCTGGCCTTCATGTGGGAACATGGGCATGCTCACATGCACACACACACACACACACACACACACACACACACACACACACACACACAC